CATCTTCCATTGTCCTTCGTAGTTTTCTGTTGATGCAAATATGATCTATTTGGTTCTCTGTAGTGTGGTCCGGTGAGATCCATGTAGCCTTGTGTATACGCTTGTGTGGAAATATTGTGCCTCCTATGACCAATTTGTTGAATGCACATAGATTTGCAAATCTTTCTCCATTTTCGTTTCTTTCTCCCAGTCCATGTCGTCCCATAATATCTTCATATCCAGTGTTGTCTATTCCGACTTTGGCATTTAGATCTCCCATTAGAATGGTGAGGTCCTTTCTTGGGCATTTCTCAATGATTGACTGCAGCCGCTCGTAGAATTGATCTTTAATGTCGTCGTTGCTATCATTGGTGGGTGCATAACATTGGATAATATTCATTAAGATCCCCTCCTTCTTTGTTTTGAATGATGCTTTGATGATTCTGGATCCATGAGATTCCCATCCTACAAGTGCATTTCGTGCTACTTTGGACAGCATAAGAGCGACTCCCTGAGTGTGTGGAGCATTGTCCTCTTCATGACCGGAGTATAGCAGCATCTCTCCCGTAGCTAGCCTTTTCTGTCCAGCTTGGGTCCAGTGGGTTTCGCTGATTCCCAGTACCGCTAAGTTGTATCTCCTCATTTCCATTGCTATTTGACTGGTTTTCCCGGTTTCCCACATTGTTCGAACGTTCCATGTACCTATAAAAAATTTTTCTCTGGTTGTTAGAAGGAGCATCGGCCTCGTGGCTTCCGGAGGAGCTCGGCTTTCACCATGAAGCGTCATAATTCTTCTAAACGAAGACCTTCTAACTCCCAGGGCAGAGTTAAAATGGTTTGGATTATTTTTTCTGGTAAGCGTTTCTTTAGCGAGTTAGTTTTCTACGGGATGGGGAGGCTAACCCCATGCCCAACCCTCCCCCTTTACCCGGGCTTGGGACCGGCAGTAACCCTATAAGAGCTACAGGCGGAGTTTTTCCACAACTATTCATATGTATTAGTAGTATTACTGAATTTTATGAGGTCGATGAAATCTCGTAACTAAGTAAACCGTATAAAACATGACAAATTATCTGGAACACTGGTTAGAATTCTTTTTTCCATGGCTATGCTTTTGTTCTTCCAGTTAGCCTACTAATACAGACGCAATTGGAAATCAACTCATACGGACAGTTTACTGGCATGATCGTTAATTGACTTTATGATTTAAGCCAAAAATAATACCAATATTAACAGTTGTTCTTATATTTCTAAACACAAAATACGTGAACGACCTACAAGCTATTAGCCAAAGGCTATTACTACGCATCTTAAGGAGACTTACTAAAATATACCTACCTGGAACCATTCTTAATTATTATAATCCCACTTTGTCCGGCTCAAATAATTTTGACCTAAATTTACATTTCGCGCACGTCAAGAATTAAACCACTTCTTTTCTGATTTATCTTTGAGCTTATCAATACCCGGTAGATTCTTATTATTCCTGGTAACCTCCGGCACGCGACAATCATACTTGATTTGGTATCGAATCAACGCCACGTTGATTCTGCTCGGAGAGTAGTGTAGTGGTATTTGTCTCTTACCACAGTCCCAAAAGCTGAACATGAGATAACTAGGAAAACAGGCTTTCATCATGTAACACTAAGAGGTCAATAATGACGAACATGGGTGTAACGACCGAACTGCCAGTATTCGGTTTGAACGCAGGACCGACGATCCAAAATGTATTGGAATAGGCCAGACTACGTTCTTCTGTATAGCGTACCAAGTGTTTTTGAGATACTCGTATTAACTTATGTCAAAATACAAACTCTGTGCTCAATATAAACGTTTCTAATTTAGGAAGTAGAATAAATTATAACAAAAATACAAAATACCTCGAACGGTACAGCCTATGCTATACGGTCAGAAGTATCTCTAACGCAAAGTAGCGCGATAAACAATAAAAGAAACAGTTAATACCAAAGGGCTCGATACCTGAGAATCAATAAAAATATTCCCAACAAGATGGAATCAAATATCTATCTGCAGGGATTCTGGCAATCCTCCCAGGCAGACAGTCAAAGTGTTAATAGCTGTAACACGTGTAATCAGCAGTCACTGAAAGGCGGAGAGGACCTGAAACCACAACACACACAATGTTAACCAAGCACTTCACACCAAGAGAGAGAGCACGGAACGGAAACCATCAGCCGTTTATTTGAAAATTAAAATTCACGAGCTATATACAGGAAAGAAAGCTGGTTTACAAAACAGTCTTATGAGTCATCCTGTAGGTCCAGTACATGCAGAGCTTGTTCTTCTTCTTCCAAGGCATTTATTCTTGGTCGCCCTGCAATAGAAAGAAAAACAGAATCAATTAACATCATCATATATGGTGATTTTAACCTCGTAACACAGCAACAATCTGGACCACATTGTAATCTTGAGCTTAGTCAAACACGACTTTACTGTCAATAGTCCGGCAACATACAATAGAAAGTTAGGTGACAAAAGATAAGTCTTTAATCAAAATCACATTAGAAATGTTCAGACGAGTAAGACTGAAGTACAAAAAGTCTGGTTAAACGAGGTCTGAACAAAGATTAAAATACACGACAGGAAGAAACAAATAAATGACAGTACTGTTCAACAACAAAGCTGCGGAGGGATGTTGATCGTTCTCTCTCCGTTACAATGGGAACATTCTTCCGAAACGCAATTCAATCGGTGGCATCGCTCAGCCTTGCAGGTGTGGTCATTCTGTATGACTTGTTTTTATTCATAATAAATAAGTTGTTCTGTCTCCAGCCCAAATGTGTTCTCCGCCATATGTTGGTGATTTTATGATACGATGAGTCGGTGCAGACAGCAATGTGACTTCCACATAAGATCTTGTAGATTAGGCAGTTTCATCACGACAAATCTGCTATTTTAGGATCAGGGCTATTATTGGAGCAGTACTAATAATAAAGTAAGCCATAATTCTACAGGTCTCCACAATGAAGGATATCCCTTTTTAAACTTCTATTAAGGTTCTAAAACATCACAAGTAAGCATACTAGGTGTGACGTACCCGTTGAAATTGCGCGGTCTTATTTTCAACACTGTGAGAAGTTGTGCACATGGGTCAGTCACACCGTGTTCATGGAAGTCAGCTTCTGCGTAACAGAACGGGGCTTCTATATTATCGGGCAAGAACAGCATTAGCTGAATAGTGGGAGGTAAAAGATGTTTGTTTTCAAGTAACTCGAGTTTCTGTTGCACGATGATGAAGATATTACGTATCAAAGGACGGGGAAAAACTGCAAATAAATATGAATACATTAACTTGATAGGTAAAAATAAAATTTGAAGAAATGTTGTGTAGTGTTTTAACAAGGAACAGATTCACAGTTTTCGGTTTGGTTTGCCAGATCACGTCGGCCTTATCACTAAAGCTGCCACAGCTATTTGGATTTTGACAACGCTTTGACACGTAACAGCTTTATGATTAAACTATTCCAACCCAGTCAAACCAGAAGTCAGGAATGAAGGGGTTTGAAGATGTACTTGAAGGATTATCTATATATCTGGAAGCTTTTAATCTGAGCTGGCTAACAGTTGCAAGAGTTGCATGGCATGGAGTACCCACTCGTGATCTGACGCGGGTAGTGACCCAGCACCTTTAGCTAGATGTGTCCAGTGCAATTAATGAGGTCATCATCAGTGTCGAAAAACTATAGAACTATTTATTTCGGGGACTTACCGCTACATGCTAATTAACTTGCGTCATTTGAACTAAAATATAATTTTCTTAAACTCTAACTTATCATTGGATCACCACTGGCATACACGTGTCACCGAAGACCAGAAATAAGGATGGCCAACCAAGATATCGAAAAGTGGAAATCGTAATAACTGTGAGAACTACAGAAGCACCATACTACTGCCAATAACATGCAAGGTTTTCAACATAGTATGGGTGAGCCGCATGAAAGTTGTGGTAGACCTTCAACTCCGAAATCGATAAGGAGGCTTTCGTAAGGACAGTGCGCTGTAGACCAAACTGCGATACTTCTGTTTGTTGTTGACCGCATGAATGGAAGTACTCACCAACTTTCTTGATTATAAAAAGGTTCGACAATATTATTCAATTATTCGTTCTAGGAGTAATCGTGCCTTGTATCCCGCGTCGAAATAGATATAGAAGTATTAGCATGCTATGATCTACATCACTGTGCCGGCTTGGACAAAAATATCTTCAGAGCACACCGTGATCTGGTATCCTTGGTATGTGTCTTGCAAGTTTAGATCAGCACTTTTTACCCAGTTTTTAATACTTCTATTCACCAAAATTTAAGGTATTGAAATAACGTTTCTTCCTCCACTAAAGGGATAAGAATACTCCGGACAATATATAGTGGCGAGCTGCGAAATCAGTTAGAGTAAACTCAAATTCAAGTCTGGTGAATAGTCGCTTGAGTCATCGGATCATTACCCATTAAAATCTTGAGGACTCGATAGCGGGCATTCAGTGCCAATTAACATCCTAAATACTTCTAAGTGTCCTACAAAATACCCACTTATGCTCAGCTTCTTCACAAGCTCAAAGGTAATACTCAGAAACTGAAGGCACGACACAGAGGAACGGGCTGTAGACACAACTTCCACTCCTCAAGAGTTGTCAAATGCTGGGATTCGCTGCCGGCTGAGCTAATCCGAGCGACTTCGCAGGAGTCCTTTGAAAGGAAACTCGACCTATTCTTAAGGACCAAGGATAGTATATTACTATGATTTGCCATTTTATTTTACCTCTTTTATCGCCCATATACTTCGGCACCTGCCTGGAGATATTGGTGATCCACTGCTGCTAGACACAGAAGCCCGTTAGGCGAAAGCTTATTTTATTCTGTCCACAACCTTTTTGAACCATTTGAACTGTATATGGATCACTATATAGAGACAAAGGTTATTCATTGACACAAGAATTAGAAGCCAAATAAGCTTAAGCTTTCTTTCATCCAGTCCGTAATCATTTGAAGCTAGCGCGAATGCTTGTTTTACTCATCACATATGGTCGTGAACTATTCAATTTGTGTGTTGCCACGTGTTTGTTACTAGTATCATAGGAGAGTATCGTATTAACTATGTCTTCTCTCGTGAACAATAGAGAAGAAGCACGACCAGTCAGCACAACCACATATTTCTTGGGGATAGTGAAACAAGTACGTAGCTCATACACTGATTTGTTCATTATAATAACATTATTTTTTTGAGTAGGTCAATAGTTTCTAACATACAAGATGCAATTTGAGCTTTTCTCAATACGGCTATTTTCATTTTATAGGTCTTATCGGGAGATACTATTGTAATACGTGACAGACCCATAAATGGTCCACCTCCAGAACGAACCATTATTTTGTCCAATATATCATGTGGTCGCGTTGCTCGTAAGCCGTCGACGGGAATTCCCACTGGAACACCAGAAGATCCGTTTGCTTGGGAGGCCAGAGAGTTTGTTCGTACTCTTTTAGTTGGTAAAGAAGTTTGCTATTCTGTCGAAACAGAACAGCCATCTGGTCGCAAATATGGATGTGTGTATGTTGGTACGTTTTAAGCTAGTTTATTTATCCTTACATCAGGGAAAAATATCAGTGGAGAAAATGTTGCTTTGTCCTTAGTGGAACAAGGCTTAGCTGAAGTGAGAAAGCTAAATCCGACAGTAGCTGCCAAAAATAAAATTTACCAGCAACTAGTAACCGCTCAAGAACAGGCAAAGTCACTTGGTAAGGGTCGTTGGTCTCCCAACCTCCCTGTTACAAGAGAAATCCTTTGGTCAGTCGAGAATACTCGTAGCTTCTTTGAGAGCTACAAAAACCGACCACTTAAAGCTGTTGTCGAAAATGTTCGAGATGGTTGTTCTGTACAAGTCTTCATTCTACCTGAATCCCTCAATGAAAAGCCAAATACATTTGTATACGTTACTGTCACAATGTCAGGGATTAAATCTCCATCGATACGTTATGAGGATGGAAAAATTGTGAGTTAGCATATCGTTGTTTCATGGTTTATAGGTTCCCGACGCGTGGGGTCTCGATGCGCTATTCTTTACCGAATCCAGACTGCTACAGAGAGACGTTACTATACTGTTGGAATCCGTATTTAATCAAACTTTCGTCGGAAGCATCCTCCACCCAAATGGAAATATAGCTGAGTTGTTGCTGCGTCATGGTCTTGCTCACTGTATTGATTGGAATCTAAACTTAGTAAGCGTCCCAGGTGCTGCTGAAGCCTATAAAATAGCTGAAAGACTTGCGAAAGAAAAGCGACTTCGCGTGTTTGAAAACTACCAGCCCACACAAACAACGGAAGTACATGCAGACAGTCTTCAAACAGTTGTTCCAGGGAAAATATTCAGTGGAATTGTGAGTGCTCGTCCAACTTTATTTGTTATTTTATTTATTTGGACACATATTGGTGAAAGTGGGCACCAAATATATATGCGCCACACAGATAATTTGATTTGTGTGTATCTACTGAGAGTAATCTGAAGCTAAATGGACCTTGGCTATAGGGATAACGTTATTTTGGTTCCCTCTTGGCACCTCAGCCATCTTCGTGCGATGTCATATTCTCCCCTTCGTTTTAGGATATTTTTGCACATGGCGATGTAGATTACGAGTTTAAGTAAATAACGACTTAGGCTGTCAATCGTTTTTTTTAAACCATGAAAATTGTGCTGATCTTAACTATCTGTGTATTCTGGTGAAACAATTACTGCACCAGTGTCAGTTCTGTCATGTCATTTCAAACTATGGTATTGTGAACATGTTATTTCGGAGCCTCTTTCAGGTTGGACTTAATTTTAGTACTTAGGACTCACTGTTTCTAGCCGAAAAGACATGGATCTATGTGTATTGTTTTTTTCAGATATGTGAAGTCGGAAACGGTGATAACGTCTCTATCAAATGTTCAGATGGTGTCCATAAATTCTTTCTATCCAGCATAAGAGCTCCACGACCACAGACCAGCAGCAAGGAAGACGATTCTTCTGTCCAACGTGGTCGTATTCGTCCGCTTTACGACATACCTTATGTGTTTGAAGCTAGAGAGGTACTTCGCCAGTTCGTCGGAAAACAAGTAAGTTAGGTTTCAATGAATCAAATGATTACCCGTACCTTGCAAAATATTCCATAAAACAGTAGTTCATTAGGGTTGCAGAAAACATGCTTTATTAGTACGTAACTGTTGTATCTTTGATATACAGGTAACTGTTCAAGTTGATTACATTCAACCGAAGACATCTAATACTGTTGACGAACGTGTTTGTGCTACAGTGCGAGCTGATGATGTCAACCTTGCATTGACCCTAGTTTCAAAAGGTCTGGCCTCTGTAGTCCGTTATCGAAACGCTAATGATTCTCGTTCTGTATTTTACGGTGAACTTCTTGCGGCAGAAGAAAATGCGCAGTCTAAGGGACTCGGAATGTATAGCAAACAAGATCCCCCGATTCATCGTGTTGCCGATCTCACAGGTAATATTTTTTGTATTATTTTGACTTCATCCATTTGTTTTCTGTACCGTTTGGTTTCGGCATGTACATTCCAATCATTTCGTTTAAATGAGTAGTTATGAGACAGCTAAAGACGAAACGGTTATCTTTGTCGGTATGTTATCCAAACTATCTTTTTTAGGTCTTCATACATACAGTCTGACTCGTGATTTGTAATTTCCCTTGTGGCAGTCAGAAGGTTTTGTATTGACTTCATAAACACGACACTTTCAATAACTGATTTTCAGGGAGTTTCCATATTCAAAGTTATTATTTTACTGGTTGCGCAAATGACCATTTTGATTATTTTGGCTGCATACGCAATAGGACTGCTTCACCCACTGAGTGACGTCAAAATGCTTTCAGGTGCGTTTCTAATCTCTCAAGCGCGAAATGCTACTTCAGAACTTGTCTGTACCTATGTTTGTTTGTCAAAACACATGAATATTGGTACAAGAGAGCGTCAATATATATGCGCCACACAAAACAATGAGAATTCAAAGAGAAATAGAAAAAAAAACTAAGGAGCGCAAAAGAAAAAGAGAACAATAACAGAGAGATTGGTGTAAGGTAGTGTGATAGTAACGAGGGAACGGAAAGGTACAATCAGAAGAAATCTTTCAGGTAAGGGAGACAACCATTTTTATGAAGAAAGTAAAAGGTTACAGCAGGATCGCCACTGGCTTCTATTCTGAGCCATATCTGATAACGTCTCTAGCCACTGTGTAGCACCATCTCTCAGACCCCAACCAGGGAGTCATGAAGGACCGACACGCCAGTCCTTTGCAGCTTTCTTTCATACCACGACACCATGTCATACACTGACCACCTCTCCGCTTCCAACCAGTCCCAAAGTCGGCAAATAATGCATGACGTGGAATACTCTGGGACGAAATTCGTAGGACATGTCCAAGCCACCGAAGTCGGTGTTTCAAGATGGTGACATCAATTGCATTATCGTCTCTGCCCGAACACACGATGCCGAACCTCTGCATTACTAACATGGTGTTGCCACTGAATGTCAGCAATCCTTCGGAGACAACGATGATCTTGAAGCGTTACAAAGTTTTGGGAACTGTCTGTACCTATGATATTTCTAACCACATGGAGTGAGGTACTCAATTCCTGCTTCGGTTTGGGCACCTGGGAACTATCACAGCCCTCACACATATCGAATGAGATTTGTGTGGCGCATATATATTTGGTGCCTCCTTGTACCAATATCTATGTGTTAAAATAATAAATAATAATAATAATAATACTCAATTATGCAAATCACTTTATCAAAATAATGTGCTTGATTGTTGGTAAAAATAGCAGTTCACTTCAACTCCGCATAGTTGCTTTATAAACACTGACCTGTTAGATGAAACATTTATGGTTAACCACTAACTATTTTGACGCTTAATGCTGACTAACGTAGAAATTAGATCAGGGGAAACGTGGTAAAGGAATCCCATTTTCAACTAACTGAAGTCACCTAACTAGATGAAAACTTCCAATTTGGGAATCTGACGCTAATCGTAGTCTATATAATCAGTCTATATAGTTCCATAATTTCTACCACTCAGTTGCCACTACGAGAACTATATCAATCAATATACTTTTATTTCCTAGAATCAGTGTTTGTTAATTTCCGTCTGTTATTTCCTGAAAGGGCATCTACTCGCGATCCTCAATTTACTGTTATATAAATTTTGTCGCATTATGTAATCTTTAGTCCCAGCAGTTGCTTAAACCTGTATTACACTTTGTTTTTGTAAGTAGTTGATAATATTTTCGATGTAATAGGTTTATGTAGTAACAGTCCGTCCCGGTTACCTGAATCGGAATGGATAGAACAGCTTTCAGGAGTGCGACCTATCGGTTCAAAGTCACTAAGACACTTGTGCTTTAGTACTCCTTCTCATGTTTGTTTTATGATTTCGTTTTTAATTGTTATTATCTCAATAAGAGGTCATGTAAAACGATGTGATCGTTTTTAAAATTTTAGGGAATGTAGCTAAATCTAGACAGTTTTTATCTTTTCTACAACGTGCTGAGCGATTGGACGGTGTGGTAGAGTTTGTATTTAGTGCAAGCAGATTCCGTATTTATATACCTCGAGAGACATGCGTAATCACACTGTTGCTTGGAGGTATTCAGTGTCCACGCCGGGGAAGGTATGTTCATTTTATCAATGTATACATTTTTAAAAACAATAGTTGAGAAAGTGTAAACGTTAATTTAAATATCTTCTCTCCACCTCAAACGTACGCAGAGTTTAAGTACTGTCCTTTGGTCAGTATAGGTCATTTAGCGAAATTGAATGTTGTTGATTAAAACCTGGATTGCCTATTAAAGGCCGTCATGTGCCGTTCCTATAGAATTTTCTATCATAAACTGGCCACCTTTACGCTTTTTCCAACCTGCCCCAGTTTCGAGAAATGATTTACAATGTGGAGTTTGCTGGGATGACGTCCTGAACACACGTACAAGCTACCGGAGCTGTTGTTTTAAGGCAATCATTTCTAATCTATACTTTTGGGTGGACTATTGGCTTGCCTTTAACCTAGATCGGTTTGATATTTGGTTTCAACGTAAGCAACAGCCACTTCGCTTACATCGATTCACCTAGAATGCTGAATTTGATGGGCACTGAAATGTAAGGCAAGATTTAAGCAAACCAAACGAGTCCGAAAAAGTGCTCCATCATCAGTGGGAGTTTTATACACAATCGCTATTCAGTCAATCTTTATTCCAGCTTCAGTTCCAGAGAAAGAACAATAGGTATGACATCAGCGATGACTTTTACAGGAGTTAGTACTAGTTTATTTTATTTACTTGGACGCATAAATATTGGTACAAAGGAGCACCGAATATATATTCGCCACACGGGTCACTTGATTTGTGCAAATCAAGTTAGTCCTAGCCAAAAATAGATTGCCATCTGCGCAAAAGTTCGTTGTCTGACTAACGAGTCCCAGTCAACAACAAAAGTAACTTTCCTTTATGCTTAGTCCCCCAACTTGTGTGCTGAAGTCTCCAGTTACTATTGTTACATCTAAACATTTAACTGATGGTGGAGGTCATCGATTTTAGTTACGCTGAAATCTGTCACAATGTAGGCGGAGCCTCGTTTTCCACACTGACTTCTTACTTTTATAAGTTCTTCGCATCTAACAAAACATAAACGATAGTCGATTAGTACTACCTCTTTCCTGGCACTTAGTGCAAAACCAATGCTTTCTAAATCGACTAAAAATGCTACCGGATACTCAGATAGGTTCATAGTTAACAAAATTTTCGAATCGATGTATGGTGAAAAAAATTCTAGTATTTTTAAAAAATCTGAAATGCAGGTCTCAGAGATACAGCAAACGTTAATATTGATACTTACCAAAGACAACCCAATCTATCTGCTTTTTGATGTTCATATAATTTCGCTCATTTTTCATATGCGACTTTTGTAACTAATAATCGAATAAGTGTACATATCGATGTACAAATGAGTGTACTTTCGGCTACTGTCGTGTTTTGAAGGGAATAAATTTCCACTTGTGACTGTCTTTAGCATTCTTACTATTGTGAACAGGAGTAGGTTTTTACAACATTTGGTTCCTCAGGGTTCTGGAGCCCATGTTCGCCATTCTTTTTTGGTGAAGTTTTTTTCAGTCCCCTTAGGTAGACGTTTCTTAACCACCATCCCGGTTTAAGCGCCAGACATCGACTTTTCGTCCTTTCACCTCCATAAATTACACTTACGCTAACAAAAGGAACTGAATAGAACTTTCTTGATAGTGGCTGTAGGCGGGTGACTATATGACAGCATTCATGAGGGACAACAGACTGTCCTTACTTACCAAAGCATTCGAAGACATTACTCCTATTATTCTCTGTTTATTCATACTTTTTAACTACCCTTCACAACTCTAATGTTGTACAGTCAAAATAATTCATTGTTATAGTAGGTCATGTAATAGTAAGTGATCGTCTACTTATTAAGTTGAGCGAATTCCTTAAGTGCTTGCTCATCATTTTTTTCCGTTTCAACACTCCTATTGTTTATCCGGTTTCCTTTTGTACAGATTTTTTTCCTAAGATTTGGTTGTTATTAACACTAGAAAATCTATTTGTTCTTTAAATTATTAGAGTGGGTCCAGATGGTGTCGCTTTACCCGATATGCCATTCAGTAACGAGGCTTACACGTTTGCTAAGGAATTGTGCATGCATCGTAACGTTGAAATTAAGGTAGAAACAATTGATAGAGTAGGGAATTTCGTTGGCTATCTTTTCGTGGACATTCCTGCTCTGTCTAACAATGGACCAGATATTAACAAGTCGTCAGGCAAGAAAAAGAAAAAAAGGGTTGCCGAAACTACTGTTAGACAAAAAACAAATCTAACTGTCTTACTAATATCTCAAGGTTTCGGTACTGTTCATCGGGCTCCCACAACCGAACGATCACCTCACTATCACGATATGATAAAAGCAGAAGAAGATGCCAAAATCAATCGGTGTGGTCTGTGGTCATCCGATCAATTCGTAAAGGAATGGGAAGCCGAAGTCCAAAATAATTCAGATCCCACTGCTTTGAGCGGTGCAGAGGACGGTAGTCTTATTCCACTGACTGGTGTCTCAGAATATTTGGACGACTTATCAGAACTACAACTTAATGAAAATAGTGATTCGACAACTGTGATCAATAATGATAATATTAAGGTATAAAGCATATTCTTTGAATCTTTATGGGATACAATATTTTCTCCCTGCATATATTTGAATTTTCCAAAGTAAGAACATAAATGTGCATATATATATATATATATATATATATATATATATATATATATATACGAACAAGAATTGAAGAGGGAGGTTGATTATGAATACAGTGGTCTTGAGTGCTGTTAGAGGCATGAGGGCGGTTATCACTTCCCTGTTACCCACATCGTGGAGTTCTTCTTGAGGTATCTGAGAAGGAAATTGCATTAGAGGTGGTCTTAGTGACCTGAGAGCGTGACCGCAGTACCCAAGGGACAACTGCTTGAGGTCGGTCACACACGACCTTTTTGTGAGTAATTCTCGTGTTATCCTCGTACTTGTTGAAACCTTACCGCCGGATACGGGTATCCGGGGGGTAAGGCTAGGTGTGTATTTTAGGGCTCGACGTTTTGTTGGGAGGCAGCATCGCTGTCATCCTGGTTGTCTGAAGGAAACATCTTACTGCCGTCACTTCTGTACAGTCAGTAGTACGACTTCGCTTTCGGACCTTGAGGAACGATTGTTCCAGCCAGTATAGCTCGATTGATGCATCACGATAGGCAAGGCCGATCACCATTTCAGGGTAGCAACAACGGTATTATATCCTTATATGCAATTTTTCTTTTATATAGTAACACCATTGAATTAACTACTTCTATGAACCCAGTGTTCATCTTGCTGTGCTAATGAGGTATAGCAATTTGAACCGATGCATGTATGACCTGATATATATATATATATATATATATATATATATATATATATATATATATATATATATATATATATATATATATCGGTGCCTGAGTATTAAAAATCCATCTGCCTCAAAATAAGATTCTTTTGAAAAATCCATTAACAAATGTTAAACAATTGTATCGTGCATGATATTATATAAATTTAAAGTGCGAAACACCACTCTTTAATCATTTTCTATAGCAGTTATCATGGAAACCTGTTCAAATAACCGGGATCTCCAGACCTGCTTCTGGTAGTCAGGGTCTTCGATTCTTCGCTCAACACTTATCAGATGCGTGCACCCTGGTCAAGATTAGTCAAATGCTGAATAGCCAATCATTTCCTTCATTCCCATCAGAATACTACCCTAAAAAAGGTAGTCTGTGTATTGCATGTTTCAGTTTAGATAATTGCTGGTACCGAGCACGTGTCATTCGTAGTTCACCCAAATCTGTTACAGTTCAGTTTATTGACTTTGGTAATGAAGAAGTAATCGATTCAGCTGAGTATTCATCACGTCTTTCTCCTCTTCCATCTGGCCCACTAATGCAACTTCCACCACAAATGAAAGAGTATCGTTTGGCATTTGTTCAACTTCCTCCCGATGCTTCCGATCGTGTGTTTGCGGAGCGTGCTTTTTGCGACCTCGTTGAAAACAAAGAAGTAGGTGAAGTGTTTGCACTGGGTTCATCTTTTGTTTTTCGTTTTATAAGACTCTCATTGGAGTACAATGCGTATTAATAACGTCTGCGTACCGTTAGATAAAATCAAAGTATCTAATTCATGACCGAATTACAGATATATACTTAGTAATTCTTAGATTATGTCTATGTTATTAATTTTGATTCGTTCAGGTGTTTAATCCCGTACACTTCTACACGTGAAGTCGGAGGTTGATTATGAGAAAGTGGGAGACACTCGTAAGCTACTAGTATTTGATCACATATGCCTCAGAAATATTGCTGGCGTCTGCTGGGATCACCGGGTAAGTAATAGTGAGGTTAGACGCAGGGTATTAGGGAATGATGGTAAATCAGTCGATGAGGTTGTGAATCTTCATCGACTGAGATTGTTGGGCCACGTGTTACGTATGCCTGAACACCGATTACCACGACGTGCAATGCTATCCGGTGTTGGGGATGGTTGGAAGAAAGTTAGGGGCGGCCAAACCAAAACGTGGCATCAGTGCTTGAAGTCACTAACTTCTAATCCGAGTCATGTTGGTAGATGCAGACTACTTGGTTGGGGTCCGCATGACTATCGTAACCAGTGGTTGGAGACTCTTGGTGACATGGCTCAGAATCGATGACAATGGCGTCGGTGTATACACTCTCTGTCTTCCCTTAAATCGTGAGATTAAAATCACTTCATGTCTTTCTTTCTACGAACTAATTCTTTCTTCCTGTACTATATCCTTATTGCAATCTTTCTTTTATATAATACCACCAGTGAATTAACTACTTCTATGAATCTGGTGTCCATCTTGTTGTGTTAATGAGGTATGGCAACTTGGACCGATGCATATATGTGCCTGGTCCTACTTTGTAGCTGACTGACTGACTTTTACACGTAGCACGTATAGATCGAAGTGTTATCTAAACACATTTATTTTGCTCATTTATATGCCACTTAGATACATTCCCTGTTAGCATCACCCTTTAAAGCTCAGAACGGTTATCAAATCATTCAAATGAAGGCTTATTAGTTGGGACTTGGTTTTCAACTCAGTTTTGAGCACCACTCCACCTGTTGTGATTTTTGAACAGTTGGTTAATATCCCTTGCACAAAGAGATTTAATCCCTAGCAAACCTGTAGTTGGTCCTTGCGTTTGTTCGCGAAATACAGATTGGATCAAGACATGTTCAGTGCAGGATCGTGTTGGGGTATGCTGATTACCTATTTCTTATCCAACAAGCGCTAATGGATACCTGGAAAAGACTCTAGAATTTCCCTATGTAAAAATTATGAACATACTAACGTTTTTCTTATTGTGATTCCTACTTCCATGCAACCTTCTTGTTTGGAATATAAATACCTTCCTGCTCAATTGTGTTCTGATATGGGTACTTATCGAGTGAATTAGCTTCCAAGAATAAGCAATAAGATTAGCTGGGTCGTTATAGAAATTATAACAGCGTTGTAGTAGTTTAAATTTATCGACTCATGAAAATTATCATTTTTCAAAGATCCTCCCTTCTCGATGCTTTATCTGCATTTCAAGATGTGTTTCTGAAAAAGTGATCTACTCCGTCTTCAGGTAAAATATTCCCATATTTTTCAGGAAATATAAACCAGTAGATTTTGGGTAAACTGTAATGCACCCAAGTCCGCTTGTTCGATTACTTTAGTCTTCTTTTTTTCAACAGTTGAGACTTGCTGTTCAGTACGAATCGGTACCGTGTGGAAACGAATCACTGAAACCTGTCCCAGCAGTGACACTATTGCTACCAGTTGCAGATCTTAAAACATCTGGGTCATCTGTCTGTCCAAACGACATAGACATCAGTGAGTCACTGTTGTCTAATGGTTTGGTCTGTGTTGAACCTATCCAGCCTCAGCTTCTTAAACGACTACCACGCAATCTTCTCCACAAGTATCTAGATGCGCAAGCATTAGCAAAAAAAGAACGTAAAAACATTTGGCGATATGGTGACTTTCGTGCAGATGTGGAACAGCTGTGATATACATTGCACAACAATTAGAACCAAAAATGTGCCTTTAAAATACCAGCTGAATATGAACGACTACCGCCCAACAATAGCATCAACCTTATGCTCTGATTCATTTTGTCTGTTGCTTACTATATGTTGTAAGAGTACACTTCATTGTTGTGTTTGTCTTGGAATTTCAGGTAGCTATTCTTCCTTTTTTTAAAAAATGTAAAAAGCAGGTTTACTTTAGTTTGTCAATATCTATGATATTCTTGTTGTTCATTGGACTCCCTAAGTACAATATAAAACTAATGTTATAAAAACCAGTTTTTGTTAGTAAACTACTTTAATTTCTAACTTAAGTCACTTGTATTTTCGTTTTACTTGACAAATGTTTTAAACTATTATATCTGTGGCAATTATGTTAATTATACGAAATTATGCTCCTAAATATTTCTGTACTCAGTAATGTATGTTTACGGTAATAAACTGTGATTTTGTTTTGTATGGTTGCATTTAAATGATCACAATGCGCTACATGCATCTTCATGAAACTTGACAGCTTATTTCCTGACTTTGTGCGACACCCTCTCTAGTGAGTTTTATTGAGTTTGTCAATTGTAATGCTGGCAGTCAGTCGTAAACAACACAGAACTTTGTAATTAAGTTACTGTCACACCACATCATATCGAGATAAAACTGCTTACACAAGTGCCAGTGCATTAGAATTAGTAACAGTATCTGCAGAAGTAAAAAAAGCGTTAAGCGCAAACAGTATGATTCGAAGAAAGACGAACTGGCGAAAGTAAGAACAACAATTTTAAAGCACGAAACAAGGAATTTATCTGGTACTGATTCTAACCCATGTCGCTCAACTCTCCAATGATTGATTACAGTGATCGATTGAATACGAATTATGCAATCTGCATCCACTAATATGACCTACCTTAACAGTCATGACTAGAGGAAAACTGCGAAGCCGCTCTCCATCGGGGTTTATTATATATTGTGCCTATGCGTGGAGGACGTGACCTAGACACCATATTATTTATTTATTTGGACACATAAATATTGGTACAAGAGAGCGCCAAATATATATGCGCCACACAAAACAATGAGAATTTAAAGAGGAGACAAAGGTACGGAGTGTAAGAAAAACGAACAATAACGAAGAGATTGGTGTAAGGTAGTGAAGTAATAATAATAGTAATAATGAGGGGACGGGAAGGTACAATCAGAAGAAATCTTTCAGTTAAGGGAGACACAACCACTTTATGAAGAAAGTAAAAGAAGGTTACAGCAGGATTGCCACTGGCTTCTATTCTGAGCCATATCCGATAACGTCTCTGGCCACTGTGTTGCACCGTCTCTCGGACCCCAACCAGGGACCAACAGAAGCCAGTCCTTTGAAGCTTTCTTTCATACCACGACATGTCATACACTGACCACCTCTCCGCTTCTTCCAACCAGTCCCAGAGTCGGCAAACAGTGCACGACGTGGAATTCTCTGGGATGACATTCGTAGGACATGTCCAAGCCACCGAAGTCGGTGTTTCAAGATGGTGACACCAAATGCATTATCGTCTCTGCCCGAACACACGATGCCGAACCTCTGCATTACTAACATGGTGTTGCCACTAGTTGCAGCAAACCTTCGGAGACAGAGGATCGAATGCAGAGGGTTGTCTAACATCCTCAACTCGGAGGCCAGGTTTCACAAGCATAGACCAACCGGCCTTTTACAACCAGACCGACATCACGAAAGCACCAAAGTGGGCCCGGATTGGCATAAGCCTCTCTGGCTTTCACTATACATGAACTGATATCGTCACTCACGCCACCACCAGCTACCTAGATACACGACATTCTCGACTACTATTTGCTCACTATCCAGGGTGAGTACAGGATTGGAATCCTGCCAAACTTGTAGAAGTACTTCGCACTTCGAAGGTGCAAAGCACATACCATACCCACGGACACTGATTGCCAACTAAGTGCGGATTGCATGACTTGGGCGTTATCGCACAGTAAGACAATATCATCCGCATACTCAAGGTCGAGAAGTCTCTTTCCAGACGACAGACCCACACCGCCATTTCTTACATTCACCAGAATGTCGTCGATGGCAAAGTTGAAGAGAAATGGTGAGATTGGGCAACCCTGCCTAACCCCACTGCTCGAATGGAACAATGGAGAGTTGTTGTATGCCGTCACTCTACATGGACACCATAATTTGCGAATTGATAACTAATAATTCAAATATCCATTTAGACCCGAAGGCACATTTTCATTTCCCAAGGCCACCAGGAGCTTAGACGTGATGAATTCGTAGTTGCATTTATTCTCTACCTTAATTTAAATTTAGAGTTAGGTGTCATTTGATCTCATTTCCTTCGCCTCGAAAGTAGTCTTATTTTGTTAATTTCCTCTCTTTGTACGCTTATATAACGTGTCCTTACCTAGAACGATAACTCAACTACGTACATTCACATTTTAACGCTTATTGGATCATTCGTATCTCATTACATCCATTGTCTCAAATCTAATACTTACTTCCACAGACAATAGTCGTTAGACTACAAACATATATTCAGTGGAATTTCTACCATTGTTATTTCCTCACAGCTGAAGTGATCATATATCATACATGTACACGTCTTAGCATAATCCATGAAATTCGCATAATTACATTTTAATACGAGACATTTAGAAGCAATAACCAGTCAACATAAGTCATCAAAAACCAAGTGATCATGCTTACAAGCCTACTTCAATAACTTGAGTTGTAATTTCACAAATAAATAAATGATTAATGACTGAATTATAGTTTGACAAATATTCTAAAGTCATCGTAATCATTGTTACGTAAGAATTAAATATTTTGTCTAAATGACTACAGCATGTTAAAACAGAGTATAATGAAAAATTGAAAATCAACAAAATGATCAAAAACTAATATAAACAACAAATTATATACAGATCCTAATGAGAATGTAACAAGTTAGAATAGAAAGACTGAGTTGAAAAAAACAAACTATTTGAAGAAAGTTATTAGACAACTCAACCTGCAGTGTTCGTCTAAATAATTTAGTGAGTGATACAGCACAGCATTATGCATACACACCTCCAAATTTGTATTAACTAAGTTGCCGACGTCGAGCTTTTTGCTTGTCAAAACGTGCTTCCATCTCTTCAAGAATACGTGGTGTATATCTTACTACAAGTTTCACAGTACCTATAATGGAAAGGAGATTATTATTACAATTTGTTTGATATGATTTTAACTGGAAAAACAATGTATAACAATTAATTATGAATATACTAAAACTACGCATAATGTGGATTAGAACAAGCATATATAGACGAGTATTCTGGCATTGTGAGAACGTGATAATAAGGATATTAACACGGAACTCTGCAATAATGAAATATCACATGTATTGATAGAGAAAAACATCTTAAAATCTACGGTACATCACCTTGTGCTAATTTCAAAAGTTCAACAGCTCTTTCATGATGTTCACTCTCCACAGAAATCCCATTTACTGATAGTAATTGATCACCACGTTTTAAACCACCATGACGATCTGCAACACCACCAGGAATAATTCGACTTATGTAAATAGGTGAATTTTGTTCTTTACCACCCATAACATTGAAACCTAGACCTTCATTAGTTTTTGGTAGTTCTATGACACGTGGATGAGCGTGTCCTTCACTTGCAGCAAAAGCTGCGACAGTAGCTTTGGCTGTTGCACTTGCTTTCACCTAATAAGAGTTTAAATAAAATGAAGAATAAAAGTCGGTCAGTTATTACTTAGAACCTAGTATGTATGTAAATCGGTTCACATTGTCATACCTCATTAACACACCAGATGAAATTGTAAGGTCTTATCACAGAATAGTAGATGTATTAATAGTATCACCGATAATACGGAAGATTAGGCATCGAAGATATCATTCAAGAGAATACAAATTAATGTAATAACGAACTATGAGGAATTCAGATAATAACTTGGGCAGATAGAAAATAGATGCACCTGCGTTACTACAAACCTTGTCATCCAAAGTCTTTAACCACTGATTACGATAATCAGGCGGACATCATCTAGGTAGTTTACACCGACTAATACGGCTGTCTGGTTGCCAATGACTTTACGGAACGATTCCACATCTTGGCTGGGCCCCTTACGTCTATTTATTCAAGCACATAAACGTTGGCACAAGAAGACACCAAATATATATGCGCCACAAATCACTTGATTGGTGTGAGGACTGGGACACTACCTGGCAGACCAAACAGGGGCGGGTGGTCTTCTTAGGAGACCACCTTTGACGTAAAGGTCTAATCCATAAGGCAGTGGAGCAACGTAGGTAGGTTCAGCCCCACCGGTAGCCGGTGACCAACAATATGTTCACACGCCATTTTTTTTCTCAGGATTCTAGGGTCTATGTGCACCATTGGTTTGGAATCAGGGTTTTCCAACATCCCTGAGTGGACCCTCCGTATCCACCGACCCGGTCAAGGCGCCGGACATTTGCTTTTCGCCCTCTCAGTATGGAGCAGGTATGCCGGAACGAGTCCAACGACGAGGGCATAAAATTTAAAAGGTCTCTTTTATGAAGACAAACTAACACAACTCAATTTATTTCCGTGATCTTGCTGTAGAATACGGAGTAATATGATATTGGCTTATCCCATAATGAACGATGACCCCGACATTAATGTCTTATCTTTTCCTCCCGTCTAGGACTGATCATTTGAAAGGACATTCGAAGAAAGTTTAAAAACCGAGATCACGTTGTCTTACGTCTGGAGTTTTGTTTCTCGCACCGAGTAGTGAATTACTGGAATTCTCTAGCGGAACACGTAATATCAGCACCTCTTGCTGATGTATTCAAAACGAGATTGGACCTCTACAGTGTTACAAACTGCAAGGATTAACGTAAGTGGTATACCTCCCATCATTATCACTAAAGACTGAATAAATTCATAGAAGCAGTTACTTCAATGGTAGTAATATGTAAAAGATTGCATATAATTGTATGATACAAGGAGAAGGAACTAGTCCGTAGAAAAGTATAAATTAATTTTAATCTCATGTTCTAAGGGTACAGTGAGTGTATATACCTAAGCCATTGTGGTGGGTTTTGAGCTATTTCACCTTGTGATTTCAAACTCATTCCATAATCTCCGTGAACTTCAGGCTTGGGCCTTGAGAACATGCAACAGCACTCTTCTAGTAGGCTTTTAAAAGCATCTATCCTTTATTGAATAAATCAAGTGGAGACGTTGACAACAATTTCCGCTAGCAGTTTACATGAATGCATTACTCAGCAGCATAAACGACAACATTGAGGCTCAGAAAATTACGTTTGCGTAAAACCCATAATACAACAAAACAATACTAACTTCTTCCGACCCATTAATATCAACAGTTGTATATATATGCTCATAAACTTCACGAATCATGTCGCAAAAGTCTGACTGCAGTATGCGCTGTAGGGCTGCCAACTTTGATGGTTGTATTTCAGGGCATCTCTGAAGTATTTCCAGTAACTCCAACACTCTATTAATATCTAAAATGTGAATATAATCAATTCACAATATACCTCTCTGCAAACTTAATGACTCCGCCATTTGCTAGTGTCCAATATCCTCTTAACGAACAAGCATAAAAACGCAATGATTTTTTAGACGCGCTTTATATGTTACAATATGTTTTCAGGTTTTCCAGATATTCTAGACACGTAACTGCACTAACTGTAGTGGATAACTAGTTAAAAGTATGGTTAAGTGTATATTCAATTATTTGTGTAACGATAAAATAAAGGCCATATTCCTATCTATTTTCGACACTTAATATGTAATCAAATTTATATTCAATATCAATTGTTTCTCCGTATCAATCAAAAAATTCTTGGTTACACTAATATACTGTCACTGTTATTGAAGAAAATAAACTCTATCTTTGTAGTCTGTTCTTCTAATTTATTGGCTCACAGCATGTGATCAAAGATTATCACAGTTTTATAGCATCGTTTTAGGCACTATAAACTACATTGAGGTACTGAATAATACTATCGGACTTAATCTTTCCCATCACACAATAGGTACCACCACATGCAAATGAAACTTTGTTAATCAGGTGAACTTATCCGAATTTTTTTCTTTAGTGGGGCTTGCGAGTAACATTTATTTCATGAAATTGTCACCATTTTCATATTTGTTATACCATTTTGTTTTAAATTTCATTTGCTACAGCTTTACTTTACTCGCAAACAGACACTTCGGTTTGAAGTGTTGATCTTGCTTATTATTGCATTATTAACTGTGTTCTTTTTATTTCTTGGGTAAGCTAATTTACTGGGATCGATCACTAATCTGGTGAGCACTTGCATTTCTATCGAAAGTGCAATTTTGAGTCTACCTACGAACATCTCGGTATCTCTTTTCCTTCTCTTAATGTTTGCTTTTTGCATTTTTACCACGTATACATTCGAATCCGACGATATTCAACGGGGTCATACGCTCTGAACCACAAAAATGTGCTGCCATTCAATGGGTTAAACGCACGTGTATGATTTTCACAGATGGATGTCCAGTTTCATCTTCATAACGTGTGTCCATAGGCTCCGAAATACTCTTTCGTGCTTGGAATCCTGTCTGAGGTACCGGGTTCTACAGATATTGTCTCAGCTTCGGAAGCCTATAGTCAGTTAAACCAAGCCGTTATTCAACGAACCTCTATGCTATATGAATGTGAGTTAAGTGACAAGTCACCGTCTCAGTTATTGAGCTAGATGAAGCGACTGATTGGACCTTATATAGTTGATAATGCTTCACTGAAGAAAATTTGGCTACAACGCTTTCCAACGGTAGTAAGGCGAATTCTCTGTGCTTCCAGCCAACCTTTAGATTTGGAGAGTCTAGCCAGTATGGCTGATACGTGTTACGGTACCTTACGTACAGATTATTTCTCATACTCCGAATAGCATGTAAATCCTCACCATAGAGTCGTTAATAGCTAAATTAAACGACCTACGTGCACATCATACACGCAAGATTGCTAGTCTTGTGAACAAGCTAAATGCATTACAATTATTCGTTTTCAATCTCACACCTCGAGGGTCCCAATCTAGTTACGTCATTTTCCTTGTCGAGAAATGTGTTGACCAGACAGTAGCTTTACTCTCGTTACTGGTTGTACCCCTGGAAGACTAGCAATAGCCAAACGAACTTTCAGTGCCGCCTCTAGTATATACAAGAACTATGTTATTCTTCTGTGATATTACGACACATCTAAACCACTGTGACTACTCAACTTTGACGTCGTACATCATTTTATGAACTATTGTTTCCCCGTGGCTGTCATCTAACAGATGGTTTCGGTACAATAATCGGCTGTTCGAATGTTCGACGATATAAAACTTGTCCGGTCCAACTTATGGTCTGATGACACTATCATTAGCGCGAATCATAAGTTTACGCAGTCAAGCTAATCTCCCTTAAACTGAAAACGACATTGTCGTCCATAACCAACACTGACCGTGTTTTTCACTGGTATTATTGACATGAGTCCAGAGCGGCATTCTTGGTTTCCTATGTTCTCTTTGATATTTTTCGGTTCAGTTATTAAACTCATATACAGCACTCACCGTTTATTATCCTGCAGAGACAACTTTATTGTGTCCCTATCACTCTCGATCTGTAGTCTATGACCCTTACCGATTGTAACGGCAATCATCGGCTTTCCAAACTGTGACTAAAAAGTGATCAATAGCTTTGCGCAACGGAACCGCGACTTCGTTACACGGCCATACTTCTGTATTTACAGTTAGTCTATCTATTCTAACGCCACTTGATAGAAATTTAAAACGTCGTGTTTCTTTTTCCATTATTTCCATGGTTAATCGCCTCATATTCAACCAACGTTCTAGTAATTAATGGTTGCTCGCTATTTCTCACTCAGTTTCTGCTCCCTACTGTCCGTTCGCCTTACAACTTGGTGATGCCCGGCAGGTTCATATCAGTCATTTTGCAACCTCTGGTGCTCGACTAATTCCAAAATGTTTGGCACCGATTTAAATGACCGTTAATTATTGTAGGGCCAGTGAATTTTTATTGAGCCCTAGCCAAATAACTGAATGTCTAACAGTTAAAAGATCCTTGTCGGGTCCAAATACTACCAATGAGTATCAATTAATCACTCGCCATGAACTGGCTCATGTGGTGGTGATCTCAACCTTTTTCTTGCACCGACGTCTACTAATACACTTCCGTAATAACGTCCTTTGGGCAAAATGGTCCTCAAAGCAGCCACAGTACTTTGATACAGTGAAGGGCAGTACACTTTAGGTGCTGATCGTGAAGTATGTTACGGGAGAACTGAAAACATTTGGCTGGGTAAAACGTTTATATTGTATATTATTAATTTTGCTGTTTTTTTGATGTATTTGTTTGGTTCAACTTCTGAACTTGTTTGTTTGTATTTCTGTTTCTTTTGTCTTTGGTTTGGTATTTGGGAGTGTTTGCTCTTCATAAAAGTATTATTTATGAAGGCAAAGCACAAGAATTCAACGCTACTAATAATCTCCACTCACCCAGACGTGGTTGATTAAGATATTTAGCCTTGTTCATCCCTACCAAGTAGATTCGTGTGAAGTAATTCTATTCGCATCATTATTTGTTTACTGAAAAGAAGTGACTTACATCGAGACACGAAATATCAGAAATTCAAATTTTCACTAGTCAAGATATCACGAACATATTTTACTATTAGTTGGCTTGATAGAAATAACCTTAAACCGATTTTCTCTAATGTATCATGAACACTAAGGTTAGTGAAAAATAAAGGAAGACGATGAAGAAATTTAGTAGAGTTAAATAAACAAATGGTCAGATATGTGACACGTGTAATGATAGAACAAAGGGTACTTCAGTATAGACATGGAGAGAATCAATTTGAAAAAATTGAAAAAATATGTTAAAGTTAGTGATAATTAGTAATTTTCAGAAAGCTTCTGAAGGCTGTATTATATTTCAATGTAATTAACAATGTTGACCGTACAACAAAGCATAGAACTAAACAAGGATTTTGAGCTTCAAACGAATTTACATATCACGTACTGAATTGATCCTAGGTTGAAGTTCATATTTCTTTGAAGTTACTTGCGAACTAATGAACTCTTAAGATATACTGGTACTCAGTAGCATCATGTGGCTTACAAAACTTCAATGATTTCCGGTGATACATTTCACTATTGCCTAAGTTCAGTTCGAAGTGCCTTAAAATGCAGTTATGATAAATCTATTCAACAGTGTTGTGTGTTATTGAACATTAATACGAAATAAAGTTCTCCTGGTAATGATCGCGAACTCACAGCTCGTGTTATGGTCGTTTGTCCTGTGTTTATCATTTTCATATTATGATAAAATATCCTCTGTAAAGATGATTAAATAATATGGTCGACTGTCAAAACTTCATAGCTTTAGCTCTTTCATCGAGTTTATCCACAATAACCGCACCACACATGTCACCAATATTAGTCTTCAATTCTGAACCAAAGTCTCTCATCACACTTTATGTCGTCTTTCATCGTTCTTGGTGTCATCACTTCGTGATTCACTGTCAGTTGACGAAGAATTTTGAGGAGAAATAAGCGTTTTCCATCAATTCGATTTTATGTGTCATCGACACTCATTTCAGTCATCGATTCGTCATAGTTGGGAAATAGTCTTGTGCGTTGTGATTTCGCAGATAGACATACAGATAAACTCCGACTCGTAAATAAATATGAATATTCAACAATTATTGGAATAAAACGTCATCATCGCTATGTGATGGATTAGAGTGTCTCACTCAGCGTTACTCGATATGAGGATTCATAGTTTATAGCTCAAACATCTGATCTTGAGCCAAATGATTTTAAATGCCTGCGAATTAAGTAGTCACATTGTACTTGGAACAGAGACTTTTTCAATATTGATTTCAGGTGTACGTCAGACCACATTCATAAAATAGACTCGAAAAACAAGTGGCGTTGTAGTGTCAGTTGCTATGTTAAGCCCATACAACTTATTCTAGCTTCTGAAGAGGCAAATTTTCTATTCTACTTGAGTTACGTTTTGGCCTTGTTAACTATTCGTTTATCAGCCCTGTGTGTTTCTAGATGGGCTTATGTGTGTGTACATCTTATCTCATCACATATCTGTAGCTTATTTTTGTGTGACTACAAATGTTGAATAACGATGGGCTAAATGAAGTTGGCTAACATGCCTTGTCTATTGCGCATCACTTCGTTTCGCTTCGTTCCATCGATCGTCTGCCTGGATAAATGACCGTATAAAATTAACGTATTCAAAATCCTTTCTCGTATTTGTCTTATTTTAATTTTGTTATTCACCAACGCCAGTTAGGTCGATAATTATATACGACGGTTGACGATATATATATTTGGACAGAAATCACTCACGCGACCCCACCGGAGTCAGTCATCAGGTCACTAAAGTAATGAGTCCGTCGATATCTGTTGTGGTCAGTATTCAATACAACCCCTAAACTTAGTATACAGTTCATCTTCATAACCGTCACTAGATAACGCCATATCGGTGTATTAATGGAAATGCGAATACAATGT